CATTTATTTTATTAAGAATATTATTTTGCTTAAATGTTTATACTGTATTGTTTGCCATAAAATAATGGTGGATAAAACCATGTACAACACATCATAATATATCTCAATATGGGTTAAACTTGCTAGGCTGTAGCAGCAAAAGTACCAAATTCTTGTGGCATCTTAAAGTCTCAAATGTTTTACTTGGCTAAGTTTTCATGGATTGCAGACCATTTCCATTATATTAATGGAGTGTTGATCTAATCATGTGAATTCCAGCTTTGGGGGAGGATGTGGAGAAATAGAAACTCAGAATCTAGAAATGTTGATGCTTATCACTGTATAATCAATATTAGTGAAAGATGAGAAGGACATCCTAGCATAAACAGAACAACATTCGTAAGGTAATGAAAAGCCTTTGTCCAAGTACAGAAGTTACTATTTAACCTCTGGATGTAATGGGCAAGGGATTGTAATAGAAAGGTGTGAGAGAGGAAATAGAAAACTGAAGGTAGTGAGAATTGCTTAAGGAGTGGATGTAATGGAATTCTGAAGAAAGATGAATTCTTATTGGTTGATTTCATGTTGAAATTTGTCTCTAAGACTCTTTTGTTCAAGAATGACTGCTTTGATTTCATTCTTCACCGGCTATTTTTTTTTAGTATATTGCCATTTCAGATTTCTCTGTGCAGTTTTTTTGCTCAGAAAGTGGGCTATATGCCCTACGCCATATAGTCTATATACATCTTGAAGTGTACTGCATGCTATAAAAACTATGCCAAGTAAAACATGTTAATCTTTATGTGCTTCATTTTTAGTTTTTATCATAATATAACTAATTATGCAATAGATAACAGTTTTCTCTATGTGTTTGCTAGTAACTATAGGGAACAAATAGAAATTCAGAAACAAAAAGAGGCCAGATGTCTAATGGTTGTACATGTGTTTCAGTTTTCTTTTTCTGTTTTTTGAGGCGCTGCCTTTGCAGGAATGGGGCAAATGTCTTGAAACATTCTTGCCCTTCATGCTAAAATAAAACTCTAGCAGATGGACTTTGGCATAATATTATTTACAATTCCTCAGTTTCTTAATCTCTTTATACATGTCTGGTATCTTTGGTCCAGCAGATAATCCTTCAGTGCTGGCAGAATCTTAACTTGTCTTGGTTTCAGCTGATTGATATTTGATGCTGGGCATCTTCTAACAGATAATCCATAGATTCACAAACATGACCATTTTCCAACAAAAGCCAGCTTTGAAGACTAGAAGCTAGGCCTTTTAAAATAAGCTTTATGAACAGAATGTATTGTCTTCACCAATTTATTTGCTGGCTATAGTGAGGAATTCATCTGCTTATTTTGTGCTGAAAATACCTTTCTCGCCAACATAGCTTTAGAATCCAAAAATATGATTGCCACAGGCTAAGGAGAAATCCTTTGTTTTTTTGCTTCAACAACACATAGTATTGTGGAAATAAATTATTTCTCTTTGTTTTAAAATCATGTCTTCGGACCTGTCATCATCTCTAGTTAGACCTCTTCCTTTGTTACTTATAGTTTGCTCATTCATAAGTCGGAACACAATATTTCCCAAAGGTGTTTTGGTTGTGGCATCAGAATTTGGAAATTTTCTTACTGCTTTGATTCTAATTCAAGGTTATGGAAGCAAGTGCTCTATAATGAAGCAGCACAACAAGTGATGGCTCTTGTGAAACGGAAGAAAGACCATCTTCCCTTGGCTTGATATATACATTGTTTGTACCCATCTTATTTATTGTGCAAAGGTTGGCAACAGACACTATATGGGCAGAAAGTAGCCTCCAATGAATACCATATACTCTGTCCTGTATCAGAAGGCAATTACTAGGGGTGAACAACTCTTGTGGGTTGTTGTAAACTGTGAACTGTGGGTCCAGATGTTTTTTAAATGTGACTGTTTTAAAAATGTACACAGATCTGCATTTCTGTTTTTGGAGGATATGGCTTTTGCTCCCCATGCCCCTGTGGTTTTTTTTTTTTTTAATGCTAGTAATCGTGAGGTGAGCACAAAAAAGGCCCTGGGGGGTGATGAACAAACTTCCTCAGATTCATCCAGGCCAAAAAAGTTTACTAAACTCTTTACTAAACTCTTCCGTAGAGAGGATAGAGAGTGCTACATTGTACCGTCTATGTTTATTGTAAGCCCATTGTCACTACCAGATATTTTCTTAGTAGTGGAGGGCCCAAAAGAGCTTTTTGCCCCTGTGGTTGCTGTAGGTAAATTGCCAATTGAACTACTGTAGTTGTTAATCACAGCATCAAAATGTGTGATTTTAAAGAAAATGTCAATGCTAATTGTGATTTCAATGTTATTTTCAAAATAAGTTCTTCCCAATTTCAATAATTATTATACATCAGTGGGTTTTTTTCTTTATGAGAATTGTAGCTATGCAGATGAGTTCAACAACAAGGGGATGCATAAGAACAGTGCTGAAATATTTTTTTCTGTATTTATAATTACTTAAACAGATCTTCTACACCTTGAACTGATTGTTTTGATTTCTCTCTCCAACCCTTTCTTTTCTAGCTCTACCCAAGGATTAAGCCAAGGCAAAGAAGCTTGGCATGAAAACATGTGGAAACAATTTTCTGATGTGCCCGCCACAAGATGAATTTATCCTTTTTTTAATAGAAAAGAATGCATTCTCTTTGTGTTGACATCAGTTTCACGAGATTTACAATGTGACATGAAAGCAATGCTGAATATGCTATGAAAACAGATGAAGGATTGATGGCATTCACAAATGGTGGAAAATACTCCCCAGTCTGGAATGCTACCTTGAAGCAAATGGATATGGTCCTGTTTAGGTAGATTGATCTTAATCAGTGGTCTTTTTCTGCGGACGGGGTTTTTTTTGTCTTTGAGATATGCCGTCAGGAGAGAAATAATTATTTTCTTCCAAACTAGTTATTCTCGAACTCGAGTCTCAGATGTTAATTGGATTTCAAGTCCCTGCTAACATGGCCTGAAGTCAAGGATTCTGGGAGTTGTTCTCCGGTAATGGGATCCAAAATTGGGAACCACTGTTCTAAACAAACCGTTTCTTAAACTCTTTTATTTTCTTCTCTGTAGCAGGTTCAATGTAAGTCAGATTATTTTCATACAGAAACTAATAATATACATTCTGATTATAGGATGTCTTAGTAGCAGAGGTAACATTATAAAAGTAATGTAATGCATCTTAAATTAAGGACCTAAACCATTATTTGAGCAATAATGTTAAGAGTGTGATAGCATTTTAGAGTTCCAGAATATTTGGAATATATGCTGTACCACTAGTATTGTAGCTCATAGAGTGTTTTTTAAAAATCTTGTCTCTTGTCTTTTGTAACATGGATATTAAATATAGAAAAAAACCTGTGTAGACTACATCATACATTTTTGTTACAATTGCCTTTTTATTCTGAACTGTGATTAAATTTTGGTCTTAGAAATACCAATTTGTCTGATGTCAAGTTTGGTAACGCTCAGCCACACAGCTCTGTCATTGAACTGTCCTCATATGCTGACATCGACACATTAAATGACTACAGTTTGCAGCTCCTTGTCTTGTCAGCATTCTTTGGTTATTAGTTTTGGAAGATGTTCTTTTTGACCTATAACTTTTATAAATTACATTGTGTGTGTTATCTGAGCCCACATCGTTTTTATTTCAAATTGGTGCATTTTTACCATTGGGTCTGGGTCATTTTTTAATATGCTTGAAAAAGAAATCCTGAAGTAGCAAAAATGTTTACTTGACTCTAATACTGGTAGCAACCTTCTTGCTTGAATGCATATAACTGTAATACAGTCTGTCTCACAACAGCTTTTTCATAAGTGTTAGAGCAGAACTTTCTAGACATTTCGAGTTGGTGTCACACTTTTTAGACATGCATCATTTTGCAACATGGTAATTCGATTTTCTCGATAAAATAGTAAAGAGTAGAGACATCACACTGGCAACAAAGATCCGCCTAGTCAAAGCCATATTATTCCCTGTTGTAACCTACGGATGTGAGAGCTGGACCTTAGGGAAGGCTGCGCAAAGGAAGATAGATGCTTTTGAGCTGTGGTGTTGGAGGAAAGTTCTGAGAGTGCCTTGGACTGCGAGAAGATCCAACCAGTCCATCCTCCAGGAAATAAAGCCTGACTGCTCACTGGAGGGAAGGATACTAGAGACAAAGTTGAAGTACTTTGGCCACATCACGAGGAGACAGCAAAGCCTGGAGAAGACAATCATGCTGGGGAAAGTGGAAGGTAAAAGGAAGAGGGGCCGACCAAGGGCAGGATGGATGGATGGCATCCTTGAGGTGACTGGACTGACCTTGAAGGAGCTGGGGGTGGTGACGGCCGACAGGGAGCTCTGGCGTGGGCTGGTCAATGAGGTCACGAAGAGTCGGAGACGACTGAACGAATGAACAACAATTCGATTTAATTAGCAAACCAGAAGTTAAACCAAGTCCTTATAAGAGACGGGCACATACATAAACTGTAATAACAAAATGTATGGGGACACAACATGCCTCATGAAAATCTTTGTTATATTTCAAAAAGATATTACCATATATACTCAAGTATAACCTGAGTTTTTCAGCCCTTTTTTAGGCTGAAAAAGCCCCCCTCAAGTCAAGTTATTTATTATTTTACTAGGTTATTATTTTTATTACATTTATTTTACTCTATTTACTATTGCTATTATTATTTACATTATTTTACTCTGTTATTTTATTACATGTATTTTTGTACTCTTTATTTTATTATATTTATTATTTTACTCCATTATTACATTTATATCTTACTCTATTATTACTGTATATAGTTATTGGTTGTGAATTTAAACTACTGAAATGACATTTAACTTGTGTCTGAGCCTGCAATATGCGAGTCTCTTCAGCAGTTTTGAGCAATAATTCTAACAGTATCCAAAAATATCATACAGTATACTTTTCTGAAAGGGCAGATTGTTACATTCATAGGTAGAACAAAAGCAGACAAATAGGCACTGTATCCCAAGAAATTTATTGCACTCTTAACAGTTAAAAAAATTGCTAGCTCTACTGGCTTAATATTTTTAAACCCTTCTAAATTAGGAAGTACAAGTATTGTTCAACCCCTGATGAAAAGAAAATGACTTATATAAGTTAATTGCTTTGTGTTGTAAGTGAAACATACATTTTAAAATTATGATCCCCTGCTGCCATTTTATCTGTACATGTATCTGAAATTAATCTGGCATTTGTTGCAGTCTGCGCAAATGCAAAGCTTTTTTGAGTTATATAGACATCTTGCTGATAAAACGGGTAGTTCTACTTTGATTTATCAACTGATAGTCCATATTTTAAAAGAACATAAAACTTAAAATCATTAGAAGAAAATAAAAATTATAGGATGTCATGTAGATACATGGCACAGTTACCATCCTATATTTCAGTGACAAATGCATTTATTAAATATTATGAGTTAAATTTCAGTTGTTTGAAAATCAGTGCTTGATAAAATCACAATAAGAAGCTCACTATGTAACTGCTTTATTGCCTAGCATTAAGATACTTGTTTAGTGTTTATAATGCTTAATAAAAGCAGAATGAAATATATTATCTTTCTTTCAGGGAGGTGGCGTTCACCTGCCAGTTTCTTAAAAGATCTGGGCTGAGCTGTGTTTTGTTTACTTTTTTATAGCACACTTTGAAGCAGCTGAAGCAAACTTTTGCATATAAAGTTAATGTTTGTATAATGAATTTGTCAAGTTAACTAACTCCCATTGTGGAATCATTTTATTTTTCCAGCATCCCCCCACCCTCAGGCAAACCATTTCATCAATCGAAGGTATACAGCAGCATTAAAATATAAGTAGTTTCTTTGATTTCTTGACATTGGTCTTAAAATGATGTTCTGGTCCCGACAGAAGTTTTCAAATGAGATGCATTCCTTCTTCAGATGATAGTAAAGCACACCCACTATGATACAGGAAGAAAGAGACATGATATGAACAACTTTTAATAAAACTGGTGAAGTTCAGAACTAATTTAGTTGCAGTGTATAGTCACTTCCTGAAAGGAAGTTATCTCTCACCGAGGAAGTAATTGAGGCAAAGAAATTGAGAAGTCAGTTTTGTTGTTGAATAAACTGGAAATTCGTTTCTTCAACCAGCCTTTAAGAAATACATCTTAAAAGGGGCTAGAATGAGCAATATTCTTTTTGTGTGTAGCTGGGACTGAAATTTATAATAAATTTTGGATTAAATATAAATGCCACAATTGTGTATCTTTCATTCCTGTGTGGCTTATGTCTAGATAAAGACTGATTTATTATTGCGTCTAAACATTACTCCAGAGGTGTGGAACGTCAGCTTGATTGACTTCCTGGTCTCACTTTTCCCTGGCAAAAGTGTCAGATGGAAGTACCAGACAGAAAAGCTCCACCTGCTTCTTTGTCGGGGGCATTATAGAAGGGTGAGAAGGGATCCAGTCCCCCAACTCCATCATGGCCATCCATACATATGCCACGTAGAGGCATTTCTGGGAAAATTGTAACGTGCTCCAAGTTACAATGGACGACGATACATCAAGAGAGTAGAATGTCGTTCATAGTTAACTAACCAAGTACAAATGGTGCTATTCTTAGGCATGAGACTTCTATGTCTTGATAAATACATGGGTAGAAAAGTTGCTGCCAAGTGCTTACTCTATCCACAGAAAGCAGACCTCTGTGTTTTGTATGACATAGTCCTATAACTCTTGCCAGGGCAGATATAATATCTAGGGCTGTTTCTGCTTTTTGAAAGTCTCCAGAAATCCTGTTAGGGTGGGTATATTTGTAAATAAAGGCAAAACATATGTGGAGCGGGAGTTGTAAATGTTGATTCATATATTCTTGTTCTCAGAGATGCAGGAGCAAAAAGCATTTTGGCATTTGCAGCAACATTAAGCTCAACAGGGAAAAATGTGTACAACGGTAATGCACAGATTTCGCCAGCAGTACTCAATCAGTACTTTAAAAATTTAGTAATCTTAAATGACCTCTGTATAAATGTATCTCATCTATAAATGAGATACTGAATATTTGCTTCAGAAATTATGTTGAAGCAGAGTTTGGGCGAGTATCTTGTAATTCCAAGGCCAAACTATGACTATTTATACTCCGGAAGTGCTGCCTATGTGAACCAGCCCACACTTGTAGGAAAACCCGTATCAAAATGTGAAAAATTCTACTAACCTGTGCTGTTGAGTTTCCTCTCCACTTTATGTTTCTAACAAGAGTTACCTAGCTCAGCAAAAAGGCATGCCTGTTTCTGTGGTAGCACTGGGAAATATGGCTCTTCAGATGATATTGGACAGCAAGTCCCAGTGGACTTCGTCAAAATATGCAGTGGTGATGCATACTGAGAACTGCAGGGTATCTCATGGCTCCTGGTGGTGCAATGGGTTAAACCCCTGTGCCGACAGGACTGCTGAACGATAGGTCTGCAGTTTGAATCTGGGGAGAGTGGGTTGAGCTCCCTCTGTAAGCTCCAGCTCCTCATACAGGGACATGAGAGAAGCCTCCCATAAGGATGATAGAACATCAAACATCCAGGCATCTCCTGGGTAATGCCCTTGCAGATGGCCAATTCTCTCACACCAGAAGCGACTTGCAGGTTCCCAAGTCCCTCTTGACATGAAAAAAAACCCTTTACTGTAAAACAGTGATAGATATAGAGAAGGCATCTTGAAAAAAAGGGTATCTAAGGTTTGGCATGTCAGCACAATGCTAATCTAGATTGCCAATTAAATACAGCTATAAAACTTGGAATTCTTCCTCAGTATAAAGTAACTTTAGCTTGTGTTAGAACTGTGCTGTTAGATCTTGACAGCCTTGTTAACTTACAGAGACAAGATTCATCTGTACTGTTCCAGTTTTCTCAGTGTCCAATTTCTTAAATATCTCTGTGGGAGGGTGAGGGTGGAGAGAGTATAAATTATGAATAACAAAGCAGACACTTTCAGGACAGAACAAAGCAGCAATGAAACGATTCACTGTGAGAAATTAGGGAGAAAAATACCACATTACTGTTTTAAAAGTTCTTAAAATAGAAGAAAAATATTCTGTATATTCTAGCACACAGGGAAGGGAGGTTTAATCCTCTCCCATCCCCTCTTCTGCATCCCTCAAAGTTTTTCCCTTAAGTAAACACTTCTTCCATTTCAAGAGCTCAGTTTATTAAAAATGTTCCTGTACTGCCCACTCAGCAATGCCTTTGAGACAATTTACTAATATAAAGATAACAACCATACATTTGAAACTTCAATTTTTTTAGGTTGCTTACCTTTATTGTATGCTGCCTTAGAACTTTTGAAAAGAGTAGGATATTTATTTTATTTTTAATAAATTTATAAAGATAAAATAATGCATTTTACCTACAAGCTTTTGCTACTCGAAATATATACGTATGAGCTACAGTTTATTTTAAGATTGAGGTTTTGATATATATTGATGATTTACTTACTGAACAAGGTTTCTAGCCGAATCAAGCACCGAACAAAATTGTCAAAATCAATGATCAGCTGCTCATCAGCAAAACGAGCCACAATGATTTGGTGCAACTGACAATCCAGCTTAAAGCCTAAAAGCAAATGGAATCTTTCTGAAATACATTTTTGGACATCGCAACTAAACACACAACATGGCTTTTCATAAAATGAGAGCTTTTCAATGTATTTGGAAGCACCAAATGAGGAAGTAAATGACCAAATAAGCACTTTGTATTGAGCTGGAGATCTTAATTCAGCATTTCGACTAGTTAGCCTGTCCCTATAATGTTTGATAAGGACAGGTAGCAGACTCGTGGACTGATCTGCATTTCTTCTTGGGTGGCTCATTGTTTTTTAAAGCCTTTCTTCTATGCGTGCAGAGCCATCAACATGTTGAACTAGCAACTGCATACCAATCAGCGGCTCGATGAGAGACTGCAGGACTAATGTACAAATGTGCAGGCGACTATATTAGTCTTTAATTATTTACACTCCTTACAGTGAAAATCCCAATTTCTTCCAGCAGAGTATTTGAGCCATCTATGTGGAGATGCTTTAAAGATGGCCAGATGGGCTGTTTAATACACAATTTCTGTCTAGGCAGACTCACATATAGAAATACTTATTTTTTTTAATGGCCTTACAGGCATCATCCACTTATATGTATGTGCATAAACAGAAAGAAAAAAAGTATAATCACAACTTGCATAGGTCTCAAAAGAACCATATTTTGAATGTATGGATAGTATGTACAATGTGCTATATTTTTTCTGAACTTCAGGCACAAAATGCACTAAAATAGCAACCAATCTACAAAAAAAGTAAATGGGTGAGCAGATGAGCACGGGGGGGGGGGGGGTTTTTGGCTTTTCTAAATAGTTTATCTCATATATATATATATATATATACACACACACACACACACACACACACACACACACATCGTATATTCCCGCATATAAGACGACTGGGCGTATAAGACGACCCCCAACTTTTCCAGTTAAAATATAGAGTTTGGTATATACTCGCCGTATAAGACCACCCCTCTTCCATTGCACACCAAATAAAAATAAAAAATAAAAACATCAGATTTGATTTCAAATCCAAGACTATCAAAGCAGTATCCAGCTCTTCGGCTTAGAAATGGAGATGAGCGCCAACCCCCAGAGCCGGACACGACTGGACTTAACGTCAGGAGAAAACCTTTACCTCACCTGTAAACTCCTGTATGTTTATTATTTATTTAACAGTTGTGGGTCCATGGAGCGTAATAAAGTTCTATAAATTTTTACCTTACCTTACCTAGAGTGAGACCAGGGCCGGGTCCAATGTCCTTTCCCCAACAACAACAACAATAATGGAAATCTAGAATTGGAAGGGACTCCAATGGCCATCCAGTCTAACCCTAATTCTGCCAGACAGGAACACATGTCCAAGCCCTCCCGACAGATGGCCATCCTGTTCTACTTAATAATAGCAATAGCAACAATAATAGCAATAACAACAACAATAATAATAGAAGGGACCTCAATGACCATTCAGTCCAACCCCATTCCTGCCAGGCAGGAAGACACAATGCAAGCCTTCCTAACAGGTGGCCATACAACTCTGCTTAACAATAACAACAACAACAGAACGCTAGAGTTGGGACTCCAATGGCCATCCATTCCAACCCACTCACTCCTGCCAGGCAGGAAGACACAATGCAAGCCTCCCCAACAGGTGGCCATCCAGTTCTAGTTGCCATATATACTCGAGTATAAGCTGACCCGAATATAAGCTGAGGCACTTAATTTTACGACCAAAAACTGGGAAAATTTATTGACTTGAGTATAAGCCAGGGGAGGGAAATGCAGCAGCTAGTGGTAAGCTGAGGGGACAGAAGTTGTCATAAAGCCATCTTGTGCAGCTTCCAAAACCCAACACGTGAGAACATTTTGCACTGCAGCCAGATATTTCCAAGGTCATGCCCAAAGGGTTTGATGAATATACCCTTTTTGAGATAGATCTAAATCAGGCATGGGCAAACTGTAGCCCTCCAGGTGTTTTGGACTTCAACTCCCACAATTCCTAACAGTATTTGAGAACACAGAAATGCTGGACCACTCTCACAACCACCATGTCAGACTACACAGAGAAGCCATTGCAATCCACAAGAAGCATGTGGACAATTTCAACAGAAAGGAGGAAACCATGAAAATGAACAAAATCTGGCTACCAGTATTTAAAAAAAACTCCTCTAAAATCAGGACAGTAAATAAAAAACAACACTCAAAAGCAGGGGAAATCCAGACAATAAAAAATCAGGACCAACTAACACCTCCCAACAAAGGATTCCCCCAGGCAGGAAGCAGCCAGGCTTTGAAGCTGCAAGGCCATTCATTGCTAATCAAGGTAGCCAATGGCAACATTCCCACTTGCCTCAAGCAGACAAGAGTTCTTTCTCCCACCCTGGACTTTCCACAGATATATAAACCCCACTTGCCATGTTTCCAACAGACCTCACAACCTCCAAGGATGCCTGGCATAGATCTGGGCAAAACATCAGGAGAGGACACTTCTGGAACATGGCTATACAGTCTGGAAAACTCACAGCAACCCAGCCACTAGCTGTTAGGAATTGTGAGAGTTGAAATTCAAAACAATCTGATAGAAAACTGGGACTTGTAGTTTGGTATGGTACTGGCTCTCTTAAACAGGGAAGGCTAAGGACCTTGTAAAACTACAACTCCTGTGATTCCATGGCACTGAATCTGTGGCAGTTATTTGGGGGGGGGATTCCCCTTTAAGAATAGATGGCCCTTGCACTGGGACTTCCCCTTTAAGGCTGCCTCGTTCTTGGCTGCAGAAACAAAACCAAACGGGGGAAAGAGACCTTTTTCTTCCTCCTTCTGCAGGCTATTTAAAACTTTTAAAACTTAGGAGCGGCTGTTCTTTCAGAGGGAGCTGAGCACAGAGACAGGAAAGAAACCCCAAAGAGGGGAGAAAGAAGAAGTTTCTGCAGCAGGACTTTCTCGGAGGTGCCTTTGTTTTGACTCTCCTTGAGTAGCACTGTTTGAGGGAGGAGAGGAGAGGGAGAAAGAGGCTGGGAATGGGAGGCTTGGGGGAAGCCTCTTCTGCCCCTTTTTCCTGCAGGAGGAGGAGGGGGAGGAGGAGGAGCGGCAGCTGCTGCGCTGCTTGGGGATGGCGAGGGGGGAGGAGGAGGAGGATCGGCAGGTCTGCCGGGAGGGCTGGCCAGCTGAGCTGCGAGACCAGCAGGCTCCCTTTGGCCTCTCATGGCTGCTCGCGTCCCTCTCTCTCGGCATCCTCAAGTGGTGGAACTTATAGCCGGCACACAAGACGACCCCCCCACTTTTAAGATGACTTTCTTGGCTTAGAAAGTCGTCTAATATGCCGATTTTTACGGTATATATATATATGTCACAAGTACCACCTACCAGTAGTAAAGAATTGGTTGGATCATAAACCTGCAAAGGTAGTGGAAAATGAACACGCAAAAATACTGTGGGACTTTTGAATCCAGACTGACAAATTTTGTAACACAATACACCAGACATTACAATTGTGGAAAAGAAAAAAGTTTGGATTATTGATGTCGCCATACCAGGTGACTGTCACATTGAGGAAAAACAACAGGAAAAACTCAGCCATTATCAGGACCTCAAAATCAAATTGCAAAGGTTCTGGCATAAACCAGTACAGGTGGTCCCAGTGATAATCGGCACATTGGGTGCTGTGTCAAAAGATCTCAGCCAGCATTTGGAAACCAACTGACAAAATCACGATCTGTCAACTGCAAAAGGCCACCTTACTTGGATCTGCATGCATCATCCGAAAATAAATCACACAGTTCTAGACACTTAGGAAGGGATTGAGTTGTGATTTTGTGATACAAAATCCAGCATATAGATCTCGTTTGCTGTGACATACTGTGTTTTTGTGTCAGTAAAATAATAATAATAATAATAATAATAATAATAATAATAATAATGTATTTCTTACCCACCTCTCCCTGTGGTTCAAGGTGAGTTACAACCTTGGCAAAAATATATTTCAGCTTTTCTTCTTGACTTGAGAGATGTTGCATTGTATTGCTCTTTGAGTTCCCGTTTTATCAGGGTTGGGAACAAAGTTTCAGAAAACTGGCTTATTTGTTAGCTACTTTTGTCTACCATTCACTTTAAGACAAAAGAACAGTTGGAAAGAAGCAGATACAGTAGAGTCTCGCTTATCCAACATCCTGCTTTATCCAACAGTTTGCCTCCTACCCGGATCCACAGCTATTTCAATACATTGCGATGTTTTGGTGCTAAATTCATAAATACAGTAATTACTACATAACATTACTGTGTATTGAACTGCTTTTTCTGACTATTGGTTGTAAAACATGATTTTTGGTGCTTAATTTGTAAAATCATAACGTAATTTGACGTTTAATAGGTTTTTCCTTAATCCCTCCTTATTATCCAGCATTTTCACTTATCCAAAGTTCTGCTGGCCCGTTTATGTTGCATAAGTGAGATTCTACTGTAGTTGAAGTCTTCCCCTCCAGCAGCAGTACAATCTTACATGAATCCTGCCCAAAGACCTGCTTTGCCTTTGTTTAAAAGCTGAAATGTACCTGCTTGTTCTAAAGCTTTCCTCATCTCATAGGCATTCATGGTTCCAGAACTATCAACATCCATTTCCCGATAAATTTTCTGCAGAACAGAAAGCCCAGTTAATAGCCAGATAGCAATGCAGAGAAATATTCCTAGGAAGCAATCTCTGTACTTTACTGAAGAAAAGAAAAAACCATTAAAATTTGAAAATAGCTTTAATTAACATATTATTTTTATTGAATTTAAAAAGATCTTCTGTTTAAAAATTACTCTTGAGACATATAACTGTGACTTAATGTTGGTCTAACTGAATAGTATGTCATTTCCTGTCCATTCATAACCCCACATTGTAATGATCATTGTTAGACCATTTCAAACAGTCCTAAGCACTCAGGATAATCATACAATATCTCTTGCTTGACATACTGAGGCAGGGGTTACATCATATTCTTATTCTTAGAGCAGTTTTAGATAAGGCTTTTTATCACAGACGTAGTTTGCAGCTGGATTTGCAAAGTAAGAGAAAAAATAGAAAAAACTATTAGAAAAGAAATAGAGGATCAGAGCATGATGACACTACATAGATCCCCAGTAAAATGCCAGTTTGAGTCTCCTTGTGGTGACACAACTGGGGGATTATTATTATTAATTATTATTAATAATTATAATAATGCAGTGAAATAGGTAGAGGGTTTCACAGCGAAAGCTTTGTCTGAAACCTGAAGTTCATGGTACATTTAAGGAACTTATTTAACTTCATTTGAAGGTGTCCTCTTACCTGGTATTTCTGAATCTTTGTCCAAAGAATATGAAACTCCTTCAGCCCCAGTTTACCACTTCCGTCTGTCTGTGTCAGTTAGGGATCCTTCCATTTCAAGTAGCAAGCCTACATTTTCTAATTCTAATCTAATAATTCAGAAAAGATGAGTTTCAGAAGGAAACTCAAGAAAAAGAGAAAGGGCAGGGACAAGGTGTACATGGGTGAGGGCAGAAAATCAGGAGTTACAAGTCAAAAAGTAAAAACATAATCCCCTCATTTAATAAACTGCAACCAGCGATAACACAGCCTTCTCAGTATCTGCTTCCAGATACTGGAAAGAAGTGACGAGCGGAGTGCCGCAGGGTTCCGTCCTGGGCCCGGTCCTGTTCAACATCTTTATTAATGACTTAGATGAAGGGCTAGAAGGCAGGATCATCAAGTTTGCAGACGACACCAAATTGGGAGGGAGAGCCAATACTCCAGAGGACAGGAGCAGGATTCAAAATGATCTTGACAGATTAGAGAGATGGGCCAAAACTAACAAAATGAAGTTCAACAGTGACAAATGCAAGATACTCCACTTTGGCAGGAAAAAATGAAATGCAAAGATACAGAATGGGGGACGCCTGGCTCGAGAGCAGTACGTGTGAAAAAGATCTTGGAGTCCTCGTGGACAACAAGTTAAACATGAGCCAACAATGTGATGTGGCGGCAAAAAAGTCAATGGGATTTTGGCCTGCATCAATAGGAGCATAGTGTCTAGATCTAGGGAAGTCATGCTACCCCTCTATTCTTCTTTGGTTAGACCACACCTGGAATACTGTGTCCAATTCTGGGCACCACAATTCAAGAGAGATATTGACAAGCTGGAATGTGTCCAGAGGAGGGCGACTAAAATGATCAAGGGTCTGGAGAACAAGCCCTATGAGGAGCGGCTTAAGGAGCTGGGCATGTTTAGCCTGAAGAAGAGAAGGCTGAGAGGAGATATGATAGCCATGTATAAATATGTGAGAGGAAGCCACAGGGAGGAGGGAGCAAGCTTGTTTTCTGCTTCCTGGAGACTAGGACGCGGAACGATGGCTTCAAACTACAAGAGAGGAGATTCCATCTGAACACGAGGAAGAACTTCCTGACTGTGAGAGCCGTTCAGCAGTGGAACACTGCCCCGGAGTGTGGTGGAGGCTCCTTCTTTGGAAGCTTTTAAACAGAGGCTGGATGGCCATCTGTCAGGGGTGATTTGAATGCAACATTCCTGCTTCTTGGCAGGGGTTGGACTGGATGGCCCATGAGGTCTCTTCCAACTCTTTGATTCTTTGATTCTATGATTCTAGGCTCTGGACCTCCCTTCCCAGAGACATTGGACTGTCAGCTTCCCTATTTTCCTATTCCAGACAAGTAAAGACTTTTCTGTTTCAACAGGCACTTGATGATGGACTATATTAAGGCTCACCCCACCCAAATAATCTTGCCAGTTGTTGTGCTGGTGTATGTGTGCATTATTAATAATATATATTTTAATGTGGTTTTGATTTTTTTTATTGTTTAATCTCATTTCAACTTTTGTATTTTGTGGGTTTTTGATGATATACTATATCATCCTGAACTGAGAAAAGGTAGGGTAGAAAATAACAACTATGTGTAATAACTAACTGCATTATTCAGGGCTGCCCCCCCCCCCCACCAAATGACTACGCAAACTTTCATATGCTGAGCCAAAGCTGTTGTATGTACAACTCAAGTATTATCTGCCTCTATAAACTTTAGAATCATGGAGTTGGAAAGAGAACAAAGGGGGCATCCAGTCCATTCTCTTACCATGCAGGAATACACAAAAGCACCCCTAACTCCACCACAGCCGTGAGCAGCATATTCTACTATCAAAAAGGCCTTACCATCGGGAAGTTCTTCCTAACGTTCAGGTGCAATCTCTTCCTGCAGTTTGAACCCACTGCTCTGTGTTTTAGTCTCAAGAGCAGCAGAAAACAAGCTTCCTCCCTCTTCAATGTGACATCCTTTCAAATATTTAAACATTGATATTATTTCCCCTCCACACTGTTTAATCTCCAAGTTAAACATACCCAGTTCCCTAAGCTGCTCCTCATAGGGCTCCTCATGTGAAGAACTGCTTCCGGTCTAGCTCAGTGACATCATTTAATGTATACACCTTTAAACATGGAAATCATGTGCGATTTTCTTGCTTCTTGGCAGAAGTTGGACTGGATGGCCCATTAGGTTTCTACCAACTCTATGATTTTATAATTCTACCACTGACCTATAGTTCCTTCTAACACTAAAAATGAGAGTTAGTTTACTATCCAGTGTTCTCTATTATCTCTTTTTGGTATATCAGCAAAGGACAGCTGTGGAAGGCTAGGGATCACATTGGTTGCCCAGGACACATGCACCCCTAATTTTGATGAATTTAAGAGGGAAAAATAGCAATTGAGTCCTAGAGGCCTCCGTGGACCAAAAAATGGTCTTGGGGGTCACATTCAGCCCTTGGTCCACATTGAATCCACCCAAAGTGGGTTGATGGAGGGAAGCACATACATGTTGTAAAATAAACTTTATTTATAACCCACCCTCCCAAAAATATGAAAGCCCTTAAGATTTGTTGGAGCAGAGGATATGCTCTAAAGCACCTCACATTTCTTAAAGCCCTTTCAAATCACGGTCTCCCCTTGTCATACTCCAGCCCGGTTTTAACCAATATATATGGCTCATATTGTTTCTTTGAGTTGTTGGCCTTGTTTGTAGAAAACCTTCAGTCAAATAAAACACATGGAAAGATACATCTAATAGATCAACCATGATTTTACATGTTTCAATGCTGAAGCCATCAGATTTAATGTCTTGGCCTGCAAAGAAAAACAGCAGCAAATTTGAAATATGGTAACTGCTTATATGTTGCCTTAAAAACTTCTAGATGGCTAATGTAACATAATAAAATAATGATAAATAAATATCAGAAGAAATTGACATCTACTGCAAGCCCAGGTATACACGAAGTGAAAACTCAGCCAAGTAGATACTGAAATAAATTATAGGGTTTTTTTTAATGGAAGGTGGACAATAGGCATCATGTTTCAATTTCCTGCCTCTAGAGCTCACCAAAGCATCACATCAATCCCTCAATAACACTCCCTCCCTGAAAAAGTTGACCCACTCTGAGTTCTGAGAAGCCTTTAAAATCTTTTAAGAGGTACAGGGAGGTGGGATGATGGCACTTTGTTAAAATAACTGTTATTCCTGGTGGCAATTCTTTCTTCTCATTTAATTTGTTCCAGAGCAGATAAGGTCCAAAAGGAAACCTTGGGGCTGGAAAAGTGGTCACGGGGACAAAGGTGGCCCACTGTTTTGAGCATTCCTATCCATCTTCCAGAATATTAGATTTAGAAAGGCTGAGCTCCATTACACATTTTACATTACACATCACCATCGATAGAGATAGACAGCTGAAGTGAGAGGCCATTAATCTTGTCTGACATGCTGGTATCAGTTCTTTTGTACATTTATTTCTTTGGTCCAGAGCAGAAGCTCTTTGAACTGCTTCAAATCTTCCACAAACAGGAGAAGTACATTTTGAGAGTGAGTTTTTAAAACAGTGAATTCCAAACTCTAGATTTCCAAGTGTTTTGGATTTCAACTTCCAGAAGCCTCCTTTTGGGAGCTGAAGTTCAGAACAGTTGAAGATCAGAGTTTGGAAAACATTGTTTGAAGGAATAAATCAATTGGGACCTTACCATATTAAAAGTTCTCAAGCATGACAGATGTATATGTTCTGTCGTCCCTATGATCCTTTGGTGAACATGGGGAAATCCAAGCATTTGCCTTTTTTCCTACAATAATGCAACACCTAATTTGGATCACAGGAAAATGATGTCTCAAGATGTCCACAGTCAAGTTATGATGGCATTGTGTGAATGTGGATCATCTTAGCTAGGTGAAATGTACACTTGGTTGTTATAAGGCCTTGTACTAACACTAGGCCTTAATTTTGCAGGGGACTCTCACTGTAAAATTACTAGTGAGGTAAGGCAATCTCAGTTATTCAAGGAGATAGGACTTTAGGAGGAGGAAGGGAGTGCTTACGTTTTGCCATCACTTTTTTCAGAATATTACACAGTTCAAAGGCTGAGATCTCAGCATCCTAAGGAAGACAAAGACGGCACAATATCAGTTGGCTTGAAAGAACATATCTCAACTTTAATCATAACAGGAATGTTTTCATGCCAAGTACAAACCTAGATTCCATTTAGAGCAGATTCATTTCATGAATTGAATTATTTTTTGAAATTTGAATTTTCAAATTTTCCATTTAGAGCAGATTCATTTCTTGAATTGAATTATTTTTTGAAATTTGAATTTTCAAATTCATTTCGTATATTCATAAACGCCACCCAACGGAAAACAACTCACCACTCCAGCTAATTGTCCAAATAGTTTCTTAAAACTGGGTTCAATTTCATCTTCAGTGACTTCTTTCTAGCAAAGAATATGAATGGAAGAAGAAAAAGATCAAAATAAGCACTGACCTAGTAACTGATATCATATTTAAACAAATATTTCTTTTTCCATGACTAAATTAAACTTTTTTCCCTCCCTTTGGCTAGGGATCTCTTGCTGTGATGGATTAAAATTTAATTTTCATTCTCAATGGCTGGTTTGAATTTTGTTCAGATTGAATCATTCATAAGCCCTTCAGTGAATCTCAGATTGCTCCTTTCATTCTGCAGTGTTAAGATTACAAACAGTTCAAGAAATTATTCTTCTGTTTGCTATGAATTACGGAAAAGTCTTTCAATCCGATCCAATGGTGAGGCAAGTATTATAAGTAATAATAAAACCACCAAGACATGGTTCAGAAGTTAAGCTCAGTATCCAAATAAAGAAGGGGTGAAGCCATAATTGTGATAAGATTTATGATGAGTACCCTTAAGTCACTGATGTTGGAGGCTAATGTAAATTATAGTTAATGCAAATCAATACACCGTATATACTCCAGTATAAGCCAACCTGAATATAAGCTGATGCAACTTATTTTACCACAAAAAAACCTGGGAAACCGTATTGACTTGAGTATAAGCCGAGGTGGGAAATGCAGCAGCTACTGATAAATTTCAAAATAAAAATAGATACCAATAAAATTGCTTTAACTGAGGCATCAGTAGGTTAAAATGTATCATAATAATACATAGAGTAAAATAATAATGTAATAAAATAATAATAATAACCCAGGAAAATAATAAATAACTTTGACTCTAGTAGAAGCCAAGGGGGGCTTTTTCAGCTTAAAAAAGGGGTTGAAAACTCAGTGTATACTCAAGTATATACAGTATTTCAATATTTCCATCCCACCCCCCAAAAGGAGCACAAATGCAGGAATACTCATTTAAACATACCTCTTCAATGTTGGCCTCAATTTCATCATCAACAATCCTAAAAATAAACACAGAGTGTTGGTCCTCATCCTCTCTTCACCTGCTCTGTCAGAGCTGTACGTTTTGCAAGGCCCTTCATCTGGAAGTCTTCTTCTTCTCCCCCCCAACTCCCCCGGTTCCAAGACAGATAATGTTCCTTGTTCCTTGAAGGAACCTTCAGTAGGTTAGCTGCTTCCCTTTTTGGCCTTGAGAGAAGGTCTAAGGAACGAGGAAGGGATACTGCTGCTTGCTCTTTGGACACCTTTTCGCCTGTCAATAGTCCCCACATTCTCCAAATCAGAAGGATTCCTCAACTCTCCAGAACAGACTTAAACCTGCCATATAATCCAGGTTATCAAAGCAGATAATCCACATTATCTGCTTTGAATTATGTGAGTCTACACTGCCATATATTCCAGTCCAGAGCAGATAATCTGGATTTTATATGGCAATGAAGAAGGGGCCTTAGAAGGGATGAGGAGGAGAAAGCCAAAGGAGGAAGATTACCTCCTTCTCATTCCACTGAAGACAATCATTGTATTAGTGCGAGGGATTAATTCAATACCACCCACAGGTGATAAATTAAATCCAATTTCTTTCTTTTTTTGTGGTGGTGGTGGTGGTGGTGGTGGTGGGGGGGAATCATCTGTTGATTTGTAACTCAGACATCTGTTATGCTGAAATGGCCTAGTGCACAATACTTATTCTAGTTCAACTTCAATAGGTTGAATTGTATGTCAATAAAACTGTGAAATCCTTAATACTCAAATTTTCCCTGATTTGATATAAGAAATAAAGCAGGTACAGAGGGAATATTCATCATAATTTCTTGGTTGCAAAGTGAGTTTCCAGATAATTAGGAAACCCAATTAGAAAAAAGAAAAAAATGAGAATTTTCACCCAAAATTCACAGCTAGAGTCAGACAATTTTGTGCAGAAATACATGTCGTTTTTACTTGCACAACAACTGTGAAGGTTTGCACAAACAAATACAATTTTAGGCAGTTATGTGCATGTTTGTGGTGCAGCTTTGCTCATTAAAGTCTTACATGTTTGTCTTGCAAAACAGCAATCTTATACAATAAACTCCTTGCACATATTTTTGCACAAAAATAGACAAGTGGTTTTGTTATGCCAGGTTCCTGTTTTTTCATTGTACAATATTACCGGGTCTTTTGCATAATCTTCCACACAAACACATATACGTGGCTATCTAGAAACCGTTTTTGTCCTAAATCCCACAGTTCTCATGTAAAACAAAAAAAAAAAAAATGATCACATGTATTTCTGTACAGAATAATTTCCCAAAACACTTCTGTGCCCCAGCTTGGAAAAAAAGTATAATTTAGAAAAGTAATTTTGGAGCGACGATTCCCAGAAACTCTCAACCAGAATTACTACTACTACTACTACTGTAGTTGTATTTATGTATATCCTATCTTTTTCCTAATCTGGAGCTCAAGGTGGCTAAGAAAAGTTAAAACATATACAGCTAAAATGTACATAATACAAAAGTTAAAAACATAGCTAAACTAGCAATAAAACGAAAAAAACTGTAAAGCATGACCATTAGAAAGAACAATTAATATATACAACATAGCACATAAACAGTCCCTTTGCTCCTGACCAAAAGAACAGACACAACGCATGCTAGTTATTCATGCTAGCACCTCAAAGGGATTTTTCTAAGTTCTGGAACGCACTCCTGAAATTGCAGAAACAGCCTCCATTCCTTTCAATCTTTATCAATAAAGCAGAAGGTCTCCAAATAGATGGAACAAGTTCCCTAAGACAATATGGTCTCCCCAGTACTTTCACAGTGAGCTGGAGAGGGGATGAATCAGAAACGTACTGTGAATCCGCACTCTTTTCAGAGAAGACTCGGAGGCAGAAATCCCCATTCTTGTTGGGTTCGAATGTTGATGGCACAATAATATACTCCCCTGAGGGAAGCTTGAAGCGATTCAACACTTCTCGGAGGTTGATGAAGGTGTTTGATCGTTCTTTTGCTCGGTTTGTCAGAAAGAAATTTTTGCTCAGATGGACGCTGGTTTGGCCTGAAGACTTCACAGGAAAAACAACAACAGTTTGAAAAGAACTTAAAGTCAGAATGAGCTCTGGAGAAGGCTCCTATAACTTTTATGGATGTATAATAGAGGGAAATTCAGCTTATTTAGTTAATCAAAGGAACGCTCTCTAGATTTACTCTGGCAACAGCAGTCTGAATGGTGACTAACAGTATTTAATATTAGTATCTGTAACGAGTTGTGAATACACAATTTTTACACAGATGGAAAAAATTTCAGCACGAAGTATACCAGTATACATAGAACTATTCTTCATCTCAGTTATATCACCAAATTAACTTCTTTTTATCTTTTAGCTGAATTTTAATTTATTGCAAAATACACTGGGTTGCATGCTAGGGTAGTAGCAGGATATAAATAAAATAAACGAGTAAATATATACAGTGACTCCTAAACCTGCAGTCATAATAACAAGTAGTCAAGTACTAGAACTGAGGAAATGGCTTAGTTATGCCAAAGAATGATACAGAACGTATTTTATTTTCAAGTAGGCAAAGCACTCTTTTTCCCTTCTAGATATTTGATCTTCTTTTATGTCAAGTAATAATAATAATAATAATAATAATAATAATAATAATAATAATAATAACAACTTTATTTTTATACCCCACTACCAACTCCCCAAGGGGACTTTGGGTTACTTACTAAGGGACAAGCCCAAAAATTACAGATAAAAACAGAGACACATTAAAATCAATCAAATAAAAAAAATAAAAACACAACACAGTCACACACATCATAATAAAACAATATGGCTGAGATAAAAGTCAAAGCTGAGTTCAGGCTCAATAAGTGCAATAATTCCTAAAAGGAGCCAATGGAAAGTGCGGACAACAAATGAACAGGGACTAGGGGATACCCTTAGCAAAAAAATATCGAGGTAACAGATAGGAGGGTCCAAAATAAAGTGCAGGACTTAGAGTAGGGTCAAGTAAGCAATGGTTGTGATAAGTATAATTTGTTTGAGGTTTTTAATGATGGATTTGTAATTTCTGATGGATTTTTTGGATTTCGAGCAACAAAAAACTGTCTAGTCTCTTGAACATTGTGGATGCATGTTTGTATTTGCCCTGTTAATAAACATTACACCATTTTAGAAATTATTCTGTTTCATTGGAAGGGTTAACTAACTTGCTTTCTTAAATAATTTTAATGACATGTATATTAATTTAAAGCAGTGGTTCCCAACCTGTGGTCCGTGGACCACCAGTGATCCGCAAGAACTAAAATATGGTCTGCGGCCTCACCACAACTACATCGTTGCAATGAGAGTGACTCGCAAAACCCTCTTATAGTCTTGAGGCTTATTAAATACGGTTTTCTGTGGGCGAACAGATGACGACTACTGGATGACATATGTTCTGTCTCAGAAACTAGAACTGATGTGGTCTATCCCATGCAATTTTCTCAAATAACCAAACTGAATCTAAAGTTGACCAAAAACTGATTCATAACCCTTTTGGTATTAATGCTGGAGAATGGTTCCTGGTCAAATGTCCCTATGGTTTTTGATCAGTCATCCAATACTTGTATTCAAAATACAATTCAGTGTTCTTTCTCGAACAGTAGTGTTGAACTTCCTTAATTGGACTGCTTTTAATCTCTCATGTAGACAATTATTTTTACAGGACTTAGATATAGTGGAAGACAATGTTTTCATGATAAAAACTACATACAATTATGAAATGTCAGCAGGCAGTAGACTTTAAAATAATGTTTGGAAAATCATCTTTGGAACATTCTGAAGCTGGAAATGCATGTGCCATTCTACATCAAAGACACATTACATACCTGTGGAGGAACCTGTGGGAAAGGGAAGAGAAAGAAATTAGGCACTCCTTAGTTACAACATTCAACAGTGATACAAACTGCCACTCATTCACAGCTTCAGTTTAATTCGAGAGCACAATCACTGGCCTTTGGCCTTGTTAAACCAGCAGAAATATTCCAGATGAAAGTGTCCTTCACTTTGGATCTGTATACCCAGACTGGTAAATCTGACAAGTGTGCAAACGCCATTGCAAAATGGCAGCTATGGGAAACAAACCTAGCAGAGGACAAATGCTGGCATTGAGTCCCAAATATAGGCTTCATAATTAGCATCATGCAGAAAACAGCAAAAAAAAACCTATTTTATGGAAGAGAAATAAGAGAAACTAAAGAATATAGAAAGGAGGCAAAAATCTAAATATTTATTTATTTATTTTATTTACCTCCCTTATAGCCCACCTTTTCAAGCCCGAAAGGAACTCAGGGCGGCCTTACAAAGGCAACAATATGATGCTACATGTACACATATCATCATTAAATAAACAACACATTAAACATTAAAAACCAGCCAGCTAAAACATTACACTAAACAACCATTTAAAATCACATAATCCAAGTCATCATCCAGGGCCAGTCCGAGGCATCAATGTTAATTCATAGTCTCTTATTGCACTGCTCCCTTTACTGACCAAAGGCCTGATCCCAAAGCCAAGTTTTTACTTTTACTGAAGGCCAGGAGGAAGGGGGGCAATCTAATTTCACTGAGGAAGGAGTTCCATAGAGGAGGTGCCACAACCGGGAAGGCCTTGTCTCTCATTCCCACTAGTTGCACTTGTGAGGGGTGGGTGGGACTGAGAGCAGGGCCTCCCCCGACGATCTTAGCCTCCGAGGTAGATCACAGAAGGAGATACGTTCAGACAGGTAAGCTGTGCCGGAACCGTAAGTACAAGTTGATGGGCAATAGCTCTCAGAACCACATTTTCATTTGTGTCAGGTTTCCTACTCCAACAGAAAAACCCTTCCCCCCAAATAATATTAAAATAAATTAATTTGAAATGAATTAATTTCTCCAAATTCAGGTGACCACTCCTTCAGTAAATTCATCTTTTGTTTCTGCTAACCACACCTACCTCTCACTTGAACCCATCCCTTAAATCTCTCCAAATAAATGTTTGGCAGTGAATTCCTTAATCTCTTCCCTTAGTAAGCCAAAATTCATTGTTGGCAAATACACCCCCTTCATTCTGTCTCTCTCAGTGGCTCACTTTATCCCTAGATCATTGTCAACATTTGTATTCCAGGCTGGCTGAGTGAACTGCAAAGCAGAACTCTGACTGAGATAACAGTCGCAAGGGGCACTTCTCGGTCCATAATCTGGTTTTATGCCATCTCCAAGATGAAAATTCTGCATAGAAATTATAATGATGGGCTTGCAATAGACCAGATATGCCAATCACTCAGAAATGGTCTGAAATCATGTACAGCTTCTGTTGAATTAAGGAAATATGAAAATTCTGTCTGTTGTACTTAACTTATAATGGCAGGCATACATTTTAGGAGATGCAAATTCATAGTAAGGGGGTGGGAATTGCTTTATGTTTTGTCCCTCTCTTACTCAAGTTGTTGGCGAAGAGACTAATGATCTCCTGAGTTGGCTTTATTCTTAAGAAGGGCAGCCCTTCACACCATGCCTTAGTAGGTAAAGCAGAAGACAGGAAAAGCAAGCTTGCCTCATAGATGGCAAAGCCAATGGTATGCATATCCTCTCCCATTTTCCGTTGCTTCCGGCGGTGTTTCTGAATCAGTCCAACCAGAAAGGTGCAGCCCTTCTCAGGATCATCTGGATCTTCATCTTCTTCCTCAAGTTTAATCAAATATTGTGGATTCATCCAAAATGAATCTGTCATAAAGGAAAGCAAACTACCATGTGTTTACAGTGATTCAACTCCCCCTGAGGACTGTAAGTAATCCTAGTTTGCAAAATTACAATCCTTCCATTTGAGATTGAGCTGCCCACAGGCTCACCTATATGTTTGCAATAAGCTCATAATCGTTTTTACCCAGCAGTTGAGAGGTTCTGAAGTGAAGGTAAAGTTATAAATGGTACTAGCTGTAAAGGGAGTTACTAGATTCCCCACAATCAGTGCTCATTCTTGACAGGAATTTAAATTATAGGCCTAAAAAGGACCCTAGTATCAAAACACCTGGTGCTTCCCATCAAAATGGGTCAGCAACTGGAAACTCCTGACCAAATCTAGTTTGGCCTGACTAACCAACCACTTAGCAACCACTTAGAAAACAAAAGTTTTCTGCTTTTGTTTTGACTATATAGCCAGAAGGTTAGGTAAGGAATGAAAGGCATCAGATAAAACATTAGTTATATGAAGGGGCTTAAAAGAGACTGATTTGATATTAGGAGGATTAGCCATTTTCTTTAGAAGGAGCAAAGTGTCCTTCCAGCAAGTCCAGTGATCAAGGAGAGCCAGAGTGATAGAGTTTTTCAACTAGCATTGCCTTCCCTGATTTCCCTGTTAAGGTAAGCAAAAATCTTCAGTGGTGTGGTGGAATTTTTCCCCCCACACAGGACATACCACTATGAAATATTATTATTGTCAGGCAAAGTATGTGGAGAGGCTACTAAAACCATTTAGTTAAAAAAAAAAACATGTTCCCAGTGTAAATTAAACTGGCTTGCTAATATAGGTGAATACATCTTTCCTGTATATTTAGATTCTCCTTGGCAGCATAGCTGTCCTAACAATCAGCTCTTGAAGTTGCAAATTTACCACTAGTCCATTGTTCAGGTCTATTAGCATTACTAAATCCAAATTTGGTGTAAGGATTAGCCCATAAACCACAGTGACTGCCATTGTTATGAATCAAAACACTAATATGCACATCTTTACAAACAGACTCATAAGCACTTGATTCTTAAGTGTGGTGTCATAGTAAAATATCAAGCTCTAGATAACTCTGCCAACTGTTTAAAAGATGCCAAGGAAAAGCCATCTCTGCAAATGCAGGTGCTGAAAAGTGACTCACCAGGATAATTTCTGCATCCACCAGCAGTGGATCCTTTTCTCCAGTTCCCATCCATCAAATTGAGGCTCCATTTCTTGTAGTTGTCATTGGTCAGGGTGTCTGGAGTCAAGTTACAGATCTCAAGGCGTGAGTAATGTCTCAGAAAATCATCAAATGACATCCTATAAAGTAAGGCCACAAAAATGATATTTAGGAAGACTTTGAGATGACTTTTTCCACTGGATTCCAATAGCAATTCAACTATGGGTGGAAAATTTGCCACACTGGCACCCCTAACTCACTGGAAGCTGCATCTGGACCACTATCAAAATTCAGTGGCAACCTGCACTTTAAAACAGGCTTCTAATTTTGAACAAAGCACACAGAGAACATTGAAACTGTTTGTACTTCTAAAGAGGCTTCTAATCAGCCTTAGAAATGGTGCTTTCATCTTGTGGGAAAAGGCTGAGATGTTATCTGTGGCCCAAGGGCCATGTGGAAGAAAAGGCTGGGATGCTATATTTGGTTCAAAAGACACATGTTGTTGATTTAAACCAAGAGCAACCTATGAGTCATTACGTTTGCAAGATGCATCAGCATGTTGTGCCATTAGCTGCAAATATGCTCTTAGCAAAGCAAAGGTTTTACTTCCCCATATCACTTACGCTGATATACTTTTTACTGAGGTATGGTTGTTCTTTTGATCCACCATTGAGCAAGTTCCTCCAAAGGTCTATCCAATTCTGCACTTACTTTTAACAGAAATGATTCTAGATACCCATATTACAGATTGATACCCAGATGTATGCCTGACATTTATGTATTAGAGAGGCAACAGTAAGGTGGGCCTCCTTTTTTGATAAATCCTCCTTACCAAAATTCTCCATCTTCATGTTTCTTGGTTAGTCTGTCTCTCACTTCAGGATCGACATTACTCCAGCTTGGGCAACTAAAAATATAAAAATTATATAAAGTTAAGAGTTAGAGCAATAAAACGCCTTAAAGTTACTGGAATATTTTGCAAGGCCTAATAAATGACTAGACAACGATGGCCACAATTTAGAAGAATGCTAGAACAGTGGTTCTCAACCTGTGGATCTCCAAATGTTTTGGCCTTCAACTCCTAGAAATCCTAACAACTGACAAACTGGTTGGGATTTCTGGGAGCTGTAGGCCAAAATACCGGGGGGCACACAGGTTGAGAACCACTGCCTTAGAAGCTAAGTGAGAAGTATTCTGCAAAATGACAATGCTTTGCAATTTCTCCTCTTTGCACTGTGATGGATACCAGTGAATTACACTCAATTAATTAGGGTAATGGCTTGGGAAATGAAAACATGTCAGCACACAGATAAGAATAAAATAAGGACTGTGTTTAGCACGATTATCCTAGAAGGATATTAATAGAAATGTGAAAAACAGCATAGAACTACACAGTATAAATATGTGAGAGGGAGCCACGGGGAGGAGGGAGCAAGCTTGTTTACTGCTTCCATGGAGATTAGGACAAGGAACAATGGCTTCAAACTACAAGAAAGGAGATTCCATCTGAACATGAGGAAGAACTTCCTCACTGTGCCCGGAGTGTGGTGGAGACTCCTTCTTTGGAAGCTTTTAAACAGAGGCTGGATGGCCATCTGTCAGGGGTGATTTGAATGCAATATTCCTGCTTCTTGGCAGGGGGTTGGACTGGATGGCCCATGAGGTCTCTTCCAACTCTTTGATTCTATGATTCTAGTTCGGAGTAGTGCCTCGGAAACTGACCAAGTGGGATTAGAGAACAAAATCCAAACCAACATGTTGTCATGCATCGTGGCAATCTAGTATATATGGAACTGAAAAAAAAAAAAGAAAAATTACAGGTGCTATAATAGGAGGAAGGAAAACTTTTTTTGTTCATGGCATTTTCTTAGAGCAGAGCGAAGATCAATAGGTTGCAATTACAAGTCAAAAGGCAAGAAAAGCTTCTTAGTGGAAATGATAGACATGCATAGAAAAATTGTGGCTGATATTTCTTGGGTGTCTTCAAAGAAGATAAAAAGATGTGTGTGAGAGAGAATAGTCTGCATTTATGGAGAGGGTTTGACTTTTTAGGTTTTGAATAATTTACTATTGCATTCCATTATAATGAGAAGTTCAAGGCAGGGTAAGGTGCTGTGTCATGAGTCTGGTTTCTGGAGTCCTGGTTCTAATTCCAATCAACCATGATATTCATTAGGAACTCACAAGAAGTCACTATTGGTCACCCTAAACTCCTTTATTGGATTGAACTATGTGAATGTACTTATGCCCCTTTCATACACGATGTACATATGCCCCTTTCATACACGATGAAGTACATTCTCACACACAGTCTGCTCAATAAATGAGCAGACTGTGTGTGAGAATAGCAATAGAAGCACAGAGTCTGTATGTGATGGAGTGACAAGCCGAGATGCCTAAAGTCAAGATGAAAAGGTACCCTTATGAGTGGTTGAGGGACCTTTTGGAATATATTATTATTACTAGCTGGGAATCAGAAAGGAGACATATTAAAATGGGCAGGAGCTGGTTTTTGTACATTCCCATTCCTAATATCTGATTTAGGTTTATCTATTCTGACACAGACTGGCTTGTTTGCCCAATGTAGAGCGCTGAAGGACATTATTGACAGAGGATGGCACAAATCACATTAGAGGATGAGCATGTAAAAATACCTTTAATAATTTGGGTGATATGATGGCATTTACTAAGTAGATGTGTGGGTATAACTGTAATACATGTTTATGGTAAGCTCTTCCCCATCCATAATGTATGTCCTCCTGTAAGTAAGTAATTGTTTGAGACCGACAGTCTCTCTGGAGGTAAGTAAAGACCTCTTCAGAGGGAAGCATTATTGTCCAGAATAGGTTGCAGCTCACTGATGATATATTTGACTGGTTTCAACTGGGAGCTGCATGTGACCATTATTGGGGTCTTCCATTTGTTGGATACCAAAATACCATTCTTACATTTATTGGAGGAAGGATAAAATAAACAAACTTATAGCTTCAATAAAATATTTGCTTTCTCATGGGATAACTTTTAAGGCAGAGAAACCATAGAATCATAGAATCAAAGAGTTGGAAGAGACCTCATGGGCCATCCAGTCCAACCCCCTGCCAAGAAGCAGGAATATTGCATTCAAATCACCCCTGACAGATGGCCATCCAGCCTCTGTTTAAAAGCTTCCAAAGAAGGAGCCTCCACCACACTCCGGGGCAGAGAGTTCCACTGCTGAACAGCTCTCACAGTCAGGAAGTTCTTCCTCATGTTCAGATGGAATCTCCTCTCTTGTAGTTTGAAGCCATATTCTGTGAACAGTGATAACACATTTAAATGCAGCAGCTCAGATTCACAAATGTTTGAAAAATGTGAGAAAATCCAAAGGTGATTTAGCCTTTACTGTTATGAGACCATCTTCAAGGAAACCAGGGCAGTGGCTTCAATTTGAATTTTGGAGCTTATGTTGCAAAGCTTTATCCCAAATGCTTCAGTTGTGTATTGCAAAAAACAAACAAACAAACAAAATCAGAACACTCGAAACTCACTTATCGTTCCATTTCCCAGTCCATTCCACTTCTCCCCAGGGATTTCGGATTCTGATCAATTTTTGCAGACTGCCACGGAAACTGACCTAGTGGGATAAGAGAACAAAAGCCAAACCAACATGCTGTCATGCATCAAGGTCACTGAACTGTTTTAATTTTTTTCTTAAAAACAAGAAGCATGAATTGAATTAGGGTGTGCTATTTGGTGTTTGACCTGCATTTCCTGTGGACTAGATGGCCTAAACACACAAAAGACAACAGATCCCACCTGATCTCAGATGTTAAACGGGGTCAGTTCTTGGATGGGATACTGTCAATGAAAATCATGCACTCTTCAGAAAAAGAAAAATTTCCCCTGAGTATTCCTTGTCTAAGAAAGCCCTGTGAAATGCATGGAGTTACTATGACTTGACAGGCAACTTGAAGGCACATACATAATTTTTTAAAATGTGGATTAACCTCAGTGGCTCCCACCCTGTGGCCCATGGACCACCAGTAGTCCCCAAGAACTAAAATATGGTCCGCAGCCTCACAGTTACTGCACTGTTGAAACGAGAGCGACTATAAACCCTCTTATAGTGATGAGGCAACAGGTATATTGGGAGGGGAGAGGCTGATTACCCATGACAGGAATGACAACAAAAGAATGACAGCAAGCCTTCTTACTGCTGCTTCTCCTCCACTTCTCTCCCCCTGAGCAGAGCTATTCCACGTGGCACCTAGAAGTGGTGGCCCCTTGATGTCTTAGTTTTTAGGCTTGTTCCAGGTATTATTTGGGGTGCTGATTCAGAAAATTGCATCAGATAATTCACATCAGCTCTAGATGATTAAATATGGTTTTCTGTGGGTGAGCAGACAGCAACTACTGGATGGCATATATTCTGTATCAGAAACTAGAGCAGACGTGGTCTATCCCCTTCCCAGGGCGCTTGTGCCCTGTTTTGTGCTTGTCAGTGACCATAATAAAGTTTTGTATTGTATTGTATTGAATATCCAATGCAATTTTCTGAATCATCACCCCAAATAACCAAACCGAATCTAAAGTTGACCAAAATTGATTTGTAGCCCTTCTGGTACTAATGTTGGAGAATGGTCCCTGGTCAAAGTGGTCTCTGGTCAAAGTGGTCCCTGGTCAAAGTGGTCCTAGTCCAGTGGCCCCTGGTCAAAGAAAAGGTTGGGAACCACTGATCTACTTGAACAGATTAGGTACAAAATAGAGAGGAAAAGATGTTTCAAGTAATTCTTCAACAGTTGTTTGTCTCTAATTTCAGTAGCAAATTCAGTATGAATTCTGAGGCTCCAAAAAGATGTAAGGAAAGAAATGTAAATGACGTGCTATGTAATCTCAGATATGGCTACTCAGAAGTAGTGGGCTGGAGTCTCTCATACCAGTAAGGTAATGAATTTGTTCTGTGTTCTAGCCTAAAAGTGAAATGAGTTCTCCAAGGTACCTGACACAAAATGGGCTCAGAAGAGCACCTTTAACCAGCAAATTCAGTGCCCACTGATATGGGAGCTACCAGCAACTAGTGCTTGGAAGTAAATCCCAGTGAAGTTAATGGGTTCTATTCTTGTTTCTCTGGCTCCTCAAGGATTGGGATGTGGATTCAACTTTCTACTCAGTCATGAAAATAATTCCCCCTGAATATGTACTTCGATGGGTATTCAAGTCAGCAACAATACAAATCTGCAGTGGTTTGTGGGCTGAAACTAAATAGCTTTACAGAACTCTCCAGAGAAAGCTTTTCGGTTTATCTCTCAAACAGGTCTATTCTCGGTTTATCTCTCAATTAGAGCAGCATGCTTCCTTCTGCCTGTTTACGCTCTGAAATGCTAAAGCCAAAACATCCGAGGCCTTCTGCAATCAAACTTCTGCCAATTGCTCATTATTTTGCCCAGCTTTGATGCAGCCTGCCAAGGATTCAACCTTGGACAACGTTTTAATCAGAAGGACAGGGATGTTTCCAGCGTAATTACTCTGGGGCCCTTCCAAAATGAGCAATGAGACTCCATGGTTTGCAAACTCTCTCTCTTTTCAACTTCTGCCATACCTTCTTCATGGGCTAGAAATATCCTTTCCAAATGAATGTGATCTATTTCGGCAGATAACTGTGCTGGCAGAAACAAGCGGTGAACAGAGCACAGCAGTGTTTGGGCAGAAGCACTCCTCAAATCTGAGTGGTAGGCTTAAAAATGTGAAATAACTCACGGGGTTAGAACATGCATCATATCAGATATACAAATCTGAATGAATAACAGACACCTCATATACTCTTCCCCTTTCTCAGCAAGGAAACTAGCATGTTTTGCAGAACAGGTTTCTGACATGGAAGAGCAGTGTCATGCAAATCCATACAAACAGTGCAAGTTAATACAAAAGTATGCCTGGGAGGATACTATACTAGTTGTTGTAGTCCAGGGGTCCTCAAACTAAGGCCCGGGGGCCAAATATGGCCCTTCAAGGTCATTTACCCGGCCCTCGCTCAGGGTCAACCGAAGAAATGACTTGAAATCACACAAAAACAACAATCCTATCTCATCAGCCAAAAGCAGGCCCGCACTTCCCATTGAAATACTTTTTTTTTGTCGTGTCAGGAGCCAGTCGCTTCTGGTGTGAGAGAATTGGCCGTCTGCAAGGACGTTGCCCAGGGGACACCTGGATGATTTGATGTGGGAGGCTTCTCTCATGTCCCCGCATGAAGAGCTGGAGCTGATAGAGGGAGCTCATCCGCCTCTCCCCAGATCCGAACCTGCAACCTGTGGGTCTTCAGTCCTGCCGGCACTGGGGTTGAACCCACTGTGCCACMGGGRGCTCCTATTGAAATACTAATAAGTTTATATTTGTTAAATTGTTCTTCATTTTTAATTACTGTATTGTTTTTAAGTGTTTTGCACTACAAATAASATATGTGAAGTATAGGAATTCATTCATTTTTTTYCCTAGTTATAATCCGGCCCTCCAACAGTTTGAGGGACTGTGACCTGGCCCTCTGTTCAAAAAGTTTGAGGACCSCTGTTGTAGTCAATCCAGATACTTTTGTATCTGGATACAAAAAGTATCTGTGATACTTTTGTRTCACAAGATGATAATGTGTATTTATTAAACTGCATGTATTCTAGGACTAAGCAACGTTATGGTTATATTGGATTGCATTACCCATAAGTCTTAACTCTGAGAAGTGAGGATGAAGGGATGTTTAGGACATCTGAAAGACAGCAGGTTATTTACCCCTGTTGTACACTATTATAAGATGTTGGGCTGGATGAGGGGGTTAGACTAGATGATCTATGTGGTCTCTTCCAACTCTATGATTCTAAGTGTTCTGGTGGGTGTTGGAATTCAACCACACACTGCCCAAGTCTCTAGTCCTCAATGAGGAACAATTTAGTTATCTTAGACTAGGCTGAGGGTTTCTCTTTCCCCGTGTCTCTTGTATGACAGTTGGAATCTATCAAATTTCTTCTCTCCATTTCTGCTCTCATTCTGATTGGTTGTTTAAAACAGATACTTCTCAACTACAAGCCTTTACTTCTGACTTTAGCTTCTTACATCTTTGAATGGGCTGTGTGTTTTGAGATTTCTCTCTGCATGTGTGTCAGAGAAATATAGTGATTAGTGTTTTTTCCCTCGCTTGAAACTTTAGAAAAGATAATAATAATAACAAACCCTGGCTTCCAGAGGGCACTTCCAGACAGTGCCAAAACCCATGCCAAAATGGGTTACAGTAAAATGCTTTGGCACAAGTTCTAGTCCCCACCCCCTTCCACAATCTTGTGATTTCCCTCTCAGGGTGGCAACATGCTATTTCAACTAAAATTGGGATAACATGAAACCACCCCGAAGCCTTCAGTTACCCCCTAAAACATACTGAAAATGGTCCCTGGCTACCACAGAGTTTCTCCTTGTGTCTTCATGGCATGAGAAAACGATGCTTGAGGGGAAGGGTAAGGAGGAAAATCCTCTGTGCCTCCTCTTCCAGTCCACTCAGGTGTCATTTTATCACACCACAAGGATGTGAGGAGAGGCTCCACAGCAGCCAGGGAACATTTCCAGTAAGTTTTAGGTGGTAAGTCAGGGGCTGGAGGGAGTGAGTGGATGCCATCTCGTTCCTCCAGGATTTTCAAAGTCCAGAAGAAGCGGGATGGCTGCAGAGACTCACCCCTGGGACTGTGGAAGCGATCCCCGGAGTCAGTCCCCAAAGGTCCAGCACCACATTAGACCTGGATCTTTCATAAAGATCTGTATCTAACGAAGTGTTTAATTGATGTGGAATAAACTGGGGAAAATCTGGTTTACTCTGCATTAATTCATTTTTACTGCAGGTGTCATTTGGACACCTCCTGTAAAACTGTTTTGGGTATGTCTGGATGGGCCCAGAGTCACAATCCAACATTCAAACCACTACATCACACTGCCTCCTTAGGAATATCCTTTTGAGTGCTGATGGGCTAGGCAGGCTTATATGAGGCTGTATAGCCATAAGAGGGCAGCATAGCCCAACATTTCAAAAGAAGACTGTGCCACACCATCCCCAAGAACAGAAGCATCTAACTGAAACACTGTGATATCGAAGACAGTGCATTCAACATTTCCCTGTTCAGAACAGACTACGTTACCTCTTCTGCACCCGTTACAGAGTACGCATGCCCTTTAACCAGCTTCTGTGTTGTGACTGCCTCCGTCTCAGCAGCACTTGTGATCTGCAAAGACAAGGATTGTCAATACAAGCTCCTATGACAGACAAATTAGTATAAAGAGCAATTCTAGAAACTAGAAAATTAGAAAACAGCAGATTTCTTCATCATGCAGGCACTCAATTCCCTTCAAAACAGGTGCAAAATAAAGGACAAATCTGGCAGTCTGAAAAAAAAATGGCAGCCAAAGTTGAATGGCTAAAGTGTCAGCTTCTCTGGGATGGAGTGAGGGCAGAAGTCTCCCTACACTCCCCAGACTATGCTATCCTTCGCACCTGGAGTTAGCTCCAATGTCACAGAGGAGTCTGTCTCATCTGTCCCATCTTGTCTGCAAAACTGCCAAACACATCGTGTAAATAGCATGGAGGCTTCTGGAGGCATGTTGGCAGCAGAACACACTAGAAAGGTAAAATAAGCCAGAGCATGGTCCAGAGTAACTCCCAGGTATTTGGGTGTGCTGCAATGCTCCAGTGGGATTCCTTCCCAGGTAATCCAGAGCTCGAGATGCTTGTCTGTCCTTATGATGAAAAGCACACGCCTGTGTTTTAAATGGATTAAGCAACTGAAATAAGCGAGGGACAAAAGGAGAAAATGGAAGGAGGAGAGAGAAACTGTGCAGCTGTGTCACTATTGTTGGAAATGACATCAACCACTGGGACCTCCAGAGGACCACCTTTCTTCTGTTGGTGGGACTTACTCTGATGATTCTCAACTACTGCAGCCTTCCTCAATCGCCACAGGGAAAAATCAGCCTTGGGGGAACATATTCACATACTAACATGTAGGTGTCTTTTGCATTACTCAACAGATTACTCAACAGATGTCTCCTCCCAGTCCTCTACGACATGGTTACATATTGCACAGTCATGCATGTTTGAGCTTTTTCTGACATATAAGAGACAGAGTATCAGCCTTTCTTATAAACTGAGAAGGGCTTCACATTTTCCAGCTTTCCATGGAAAATATAGCAGGAGTAGAAATCAATGCAAAAATACAATAACCCAATTAAAGCAAACTGACACTTTGCCCTGTGTTACAAAGAATTTGATAGCAACCGAGAAAGCAGAAGTAACTTACATCGATAGAACATCCCAGGAGAGAACCTTTTTGAAGAGCTTTCTGGATGATCCTGAACAGATTTGGTGGAGCTTTTCTCAGTTCATACCACTCTGCAATTCCACCCGTGAAGTCCTCAAAGCCCTCAGTAGTGCTTCCTCCAGAGAGAGCCTCATAAGACCCATTCACCCTACAGAAAGTGCAGAGTAGTGATGTTTAATATTTTAACTTTCAACAAGCATAGAAGATAGAGCTGTGCGACTGACGAACACTTTTTTTCAAAACTCATCAAAATTGTTTCAAAAGTGATTCTGAAGTATAGTGAAAATTTTGTTACTATAATGAGAGTAATGAGCACGTCCTAATCACCTTCCTGTGAGGTTGGAAAGCCTAGGATGGTTTGGTTATATACTTCTTTTTATTTATTTCAAACAAATAGAGTGGCAACGAAAAGCTCATGAATGCATTGATATTTCATGATGTCACCAAATAATGACAGCATGGCCAACAATAATCTGCACATAAAAATGCATTTATTGTTTTAAAGCAGAGTCACTGCTGAACAACCAAAATTGAGTGCTGGTTGGAAGATGTGGCTTTGGGGTGAGATTCTAGTGCTAAGGGGGGTGATGGTTTTATATTTCCCTAATTTAGTGCATTAGAGATAGCTATATAGTTGCCATGCATATATACAAGGCATGGGCAAACTTCTCCCCTTCAGGTGTTTTGGATTTCAACTTCCACAATTCTTAACAGCCTGGCTGTTAGGAATTATGGGAGTTGAAATCCAAAACACCTGGAGGGATGAAGTTTGCCCATACCTGGTGTATACGCACATGGCATGAGCAGTTGCCTGTTGACTTACAGTGACTCTATGAATTTCATAGAGTAACCATAGCTAATGAGTATGTGTAGGTTTTGCTTCTTGGGACACATAGTTACAGAGAAATTCTAATGAGGAAAACCAAATGCATGGGAATGTTGAAAATCCTGATCCATGATGCAGTGCAGTGCTACTAGTAACTTTAAAAAATGAGACATCCTGATTGTGGGTCTTATATATAACTCCTTCTTGCACATGAATGTTCCTTGTCTATTTTCAATACTTAAAAATATTGAAATATACCCATGAGATACTTTTATGTTTATTGATAGTTATATTACCTATATTATAAAGCCATTCTGTGCTGCTAACTCCTTCAGTGGTATCTTGTTTCAATTAGGAGCAAAGATGTCAAAAGAAAACAAACAAACCCAGAACCTTACTTTATGCTGTACTAAGCAATAATTTTAATGGCCCCACTTACTTGGCATAGGCCTTCTCCAACAGTGCACTCCAGAACTCAGTCCCTTCTGCTGAGTGGACAAAAAGGAGCTCCCCATTTTTGGTTGGCAGCCTGTCATCAATCACCACATCCGTCCATTCTCCATACTGCCAAAACTGAAAGGGAGAAAATTCAAGAATCCAATCTATATTATGTTACATTTATTGGAATTGACTATAACCAAAAAACATTGCCAATGCCTAACATGAGACAAATTTAGGTAAATTTACACTCTGAGAGTAATGCTGCCACCTTACTCACAGGGGGAAAGGACAGTTTGGTTATAGTTAGTTTATTAACTTATCGGGTTGTTTGAATCCTTATAGCAGCGTCAAATTCCACTAATTTAAAGAGCCAAACTTTTACATTTTAAGGAATGCTGTAGTTATTTTAGGCAGCCATAATTTATTTGAGGATGATGTGGCTGTTTCTCTGCCAGATGCAATAAGACAGGAGGCCTTATTGCATTGTATGCCTTTAAGTCGATTCTGATGTGCGGCAACACAATAGGAGTTTTCTTGGCACTAAATTAGTCCAGAGGAGGGAAAAGAATGATGACTGAAGAAATGCATCACTTGGCATTATGCTGGATTGCTGTTCTGAGCTTCAAGAAAGCAAAATAGAAATAGGAAAATGGAGGAGAAAGGGGGAACCGTTGAAGGATGGTGCCCCTTTCATTGTCCTGTGTGGAAGTTGCTGAATTTTTTAGTGCAACTCTATGCACATCTCTTCCTGTAACTTATTGGTATTATTTTTGGAGTTTGAGCTACATAAAAATGACTGATAAATAAATTATTTTGCATATTATTACATAGGTGAGCTGCAATAACACCTTTGTAGTCCTTCAGTTTGAGCACTCAACTCTCAAAGTCACTCCTTAAAAGTTTTTAAAAAGCAACCATGATAGTTTATTCCTTAATAAAATAAAACATTACTTTTGAAAAGAAAGCTACACCAGAAATTAACTACTTGAGGGGTTAGAAACTATAATGGCAACTAAGTTTTTTTTGGGGGGGGGGGAATTGGATTCATAACCTTATTGAAAAGGAAAAATTATGTCATATCCTTTTGGCAAATGTGAATCTTTTAAAAGCAAACATATAGTAAACAGTTCCTGCATATGGTTCGAAATGACATCTACTTCCAGAAAAGCCCAAACGCATATGGCATCCACCTCCACTGAGGTCTAAAGCGAACTGCTAACATTGAAGTCCAAAAGCATACTGATGACAAAATGGAGTCTTGAGTCTGAACATGCTCAGTACAATCACATATCTGTAACCGCCCCCCCCCCCACCAAAGAGGTCAGTCAAACTGGCAAATCAATATATATATATATGCAATACAGGTAAGCAACGATATACATTAACAAACAAATAGTGAAGGCTTGGAAGGTTGCCATTTCCAACACTCATTACATTAAAAGATAAAGCAACTTCCCAAATGTTGGGTTTCTGCTGTTGGGAGAGCTGATTGTATCAGTGCCAAATAATCATACCTTATAAATTGGGCATATTTAGCCTGGAAACCAGAAGAGAACAATCTAACTAACAAGAGAGATCATCCAAATAACTCTTTCTGCTAAAGGAAAAAAAATCTCCAACAGCAGAGTGAAAGGAAGGTAAGTCATTGCCTTTAGTCCCTGCATGCTTCAAAATGTTCATGCCCTTTCATCTAAATGAATGGGAGTATCATTTGATATAAGAACATACAGTACTTAATAAAATATTACAAGAATGCAGTATAAAGTTCCTGGAAAATGTCTTTGTTTGGGAAGGACTTACTCTGTACGTTCCAACAATTTTGTATCGGAAAAGGAAAGAAGGCAAGTATCTGTAGTACCTGGAAATGGAAGATCCCTGCATATCTGTCTTGAAAGCTCTGATCACTGGGAACAACTCTAGCCAGAATTTCTTCATTTAGCGTGAGAGAAGCAATGGCAGCCAGAAGCCAACAGTCTCCTGTTGAAACAAGAAAACGTAAAGTCAACTCCATAATTAAGATGGAAATGGTTTGCTTTTGAGACTCACCAATGCTAACAGAGAGCATTCGGGGTAAGGGCCCCGAAGACACCAGATCACTGGCCCTAATACACTACAAGAAGGGATATAATGCTACTGAAATACCAGCAGAGTATGAACTCAAGAGTTTGGCCATGGTGGTCAATGCCTTAGTTACATCAAGATTGGATTACTGTAATGCACTCTACGTGGGGCTGTCTTTGAAGACGGCTCAGAAACTGCAATGGGTGTAAAGATCGGCAGACAGGCTAATAACTGGAGCTGGCTATAGGGAGCACCCAATGCCCCTAGTAAAGCAGCTCCATTGGCTGCTGATAAGTTTCCTGTCTTAATTCAAAGTGCAGGTCATCACCTATAAAGCCCTAAATGGTTTGGGCCCTGCCTATCTTTGTGATTGCATTCTCCTCTATGAATCTGCACGAGTGTTAAAATCTGCCAGGTAGGCCTTCCTCTCGGTCCTGCCACCGTCACAAGTGCAGTTGGTAGGGACAAGGGAGAGGGCCTTCTCGGTGGTAGCCCCCCGGCTCTGGAACACCCTCCCCAGGGAGATTAGGCAGGCCCCCACACTGTCCTCCTTCTGTAGGGATCTGAAGACTTGGGTGTTTAAACAAGCTTTTGAGAACATCTAGTCCCTAGTGGTTTATGCAATAATAACACAGCACTGCACTTTTTTCCATGTCCTTGTTCCATGGCTACAGTCTCCCTCACATCCCTTAAAACACCTAAGCTGTTGACCTGTGAGGAGCTCTGCTGGTGATAATATATTTATTGATTTGATTTGATTTTGCACCCTGCCTATCTCTCAGACCCCAAACTTAGTCAGCTCACAATAAAATTAAAACAGAAACAGCGTATAACCTGCATCACAACACACACACACACACACATAAAGCAACAAAGCCACTGCACCCTGAATACACCAGCTCCAGTGGTATTTCCAGCAATATCTTAGCATCCTTCTGGTACCATTTGATTTAGCTAAATAACTCTATTCCTGAGTATGGCATGCACTCCACACACAGCCAGGGATACAAATCACTAGATGGAGGCACTCAGTTTTATTTTCTGTGCTCATCCATTCATAGACAAGAGGAGTTATTTGCTATGGTGTCATCTTTTGTGCAAATGATACTTCATGCAGGGAGTGGAATGTTGTTTATGCTCCAGGGCACGTACGGAGCGATTCGAACTGGCTGCAGCCAGAGACAAACAATGCAATAGTATGCCAAACCATATTTCATGGTTGCAAACAATGCTGCTTCACTGTAAAACAAATTTTTAAACAGAAACGATCAATTGACTTATTCACTGTTGTATTTGTGTAAAAAGTATTTTGTGCACCTTAATGCCAATCACATTGTTAGAGGCAAATGAATGACCGGAAGATAATGAGCTCCAGATTGTGCATACAGATAACTTTTACTGTTGTACGCCTTTGCCATATCTGAATTATGGTGATCCTAAGGCAAACTTATCACAGGATTTTCATGGCAGTTTGTCCAAAGGTGGCTTCCAATTGTCTTTATCTGAGGCTGAGACTTCCCAAGAACAAATACTGTGTTGCCATATTTATTATTATTTATTTACAGTATTTCTATCCCGTCTTTCACAGTCTGAAGGCAACTCAAGGCGGCTTACAAATTGGCAGAAATTTGATGCCACAACAGTAATAAATACCATTAAAACATTTAGCATAACATAATAAAAATCCATATAAAAATCCATTAAAACATATAATCACCATCTCTTTCTGTTAAACTCATATTCCAGTACCATTGCCTAAGCCATTCCATAGACAAGGGGTTAGTTGAACCCTGGTTTCCCAGAGTCTTAGTCCACCAATCAAACCATGTTGGCTCTCAAAAATAATTTGCCCTTCTGAAAAATGTATATAGAAGATAGAAAGATCCTTCTGATTCACTAACAACTAGATAAAGAGGTCTTTGTCAGCAAAAAGAAAGTAGAGATCCAAACGTCAGGCAGGAGGGAAGTTCACAAATAAATGGAGGAACCATATAGGAAAGGAAATTATTGCTGTCCTTACTTATCCGGTCTCGGAGAATTTGTATTGGAACAATGTCATTTGACTCATCCAAATGTCTCCTCATTATCTACACTACTCTCATAATGTGAATGGCTCCCAGGGCTTCTGTCGAATCATAGTTCCTACTCCAGCTTGCAGAAATGATGTTTGTCAGTATCCTACAAGGATAAGATTGCAGCGCTGGAGATGTCTAAATCGAGCTCTCAAATCAAGACACTGCTGGAAGGCAAGATGTCTGACTTTCACAGCTTTCATCTCAAGAAATATGATACTTTATGTGACATTAAATACATATTGTAGATTGCACTTTTTATTCGTAAGAAACCATGCAGATCCTGTTGGAGAACTGACACCTTACTCTCAAACTACTTTCCCTTTGAAGTTCAACATATAGATATAAAAATAGGGGTGGGGTGGAGAGAAATCAAAGAAAATTTTGATCACATATAAAGCTCCTGTGGAGAAGAAATGCAAATTTTACAGAAAAAAGCAATTTGAACCTGTGCACAACAGATCCTATTTAAATCCGGTCCCCACGTGCTTGAGTCAAGAAGAGAGCCGAGTACGGTATTTTAAAACAGCATGTCAATCATGTCGTGCAGTGTAAAGTGTGTTATGTAATATGCAATTATTGTTATTATATTGATTTATCATATTGGTTATATTGCAAGTTGTGTCTTGCAACTTGCAATATAACCAATATAATAAATCAATATAATAATCAAACTTGCAGTTTCTCAAATTGCTCCTGATACGAAAATAATGGTTATACAGATATTCTAATTCTGTGCTTCAGACTACTAAATCTTTGTGTATATTTTACTGTCAATAATTCTGGAATCATCACAGTTATAAGAAGGAAACAATGGCCATAAGTTTTATAATCATGCATATAAAGCTTCAGATTATTTTTCCTCTATAGAACTTGTTTTAACTAATCAGAATATTATCATTAACCAAATTTAATGGTTTACAGTTGGGATGGGTAATTTCCAGATTTCCAGGAGCCACACACCCCGCTCACTGAATTGTACAGAGTCAGGCCACACCAACCCATCCCACCCAACTCGTCCCCATCATTTTTAAATCCAGAAAGGCCTTCTGCCCTATGGACAGGAGGGGAAACTGTTGTCAAAGACTTTCATAGCCGGAATCACTGGTTTGCAGTGAGTTTTCTGGGTTGTATGGTCATGTTCTAGAAGCATTCTCTCCTGATGTTATGCCCACATCTATGGCAGGCATCCTCAGACGTTGGAAACTAGACAAGTGGGGTTTATATATCTGTGGAACGTCCAGGGTGGGAGAGAGAGCTCTTGTCTGTTTGAGGAAAGTGTGAATGTTGCAATTGGCCATCTTGATTTGCATCGAATGGCCTTTTTGTTATGTGCCCCTCCTAAGCTGTTTTAGTTCTGGGACACAGGGCATCCCCACTGGAAGTGACTCCTCATGCATGTTAATATGCAGTTTATCACACTTCCCCAAATTGTAATGTGATTATATCAATATGTATATTATACTGACTCAGTTAGTGAAATATGTCTAAAATCTCCCTGGTGAGTCATTTTAGAAAAAGAGAGGAAACAATGATATTCACATAAAAGGAAGTATGTTCAACATGTATATATTTCTCGAAGGATGTTGCCATGGTATCACAGCAATGACCTTTACTATAATCTGGTGTTTCCCCTCTAATGTTGATGGCAGATGTCTCTTCCTCAGGAAAAAAAAGAGCATATTTGCATAATAAAAATTCATGTATGCATTATTCCTCATCAGTGTGTTGCCATGCTGTGAGGCTCTCTCATTTTACTCACCAAGGTTGCACGTAAGATATAATATTTTTAAGTGGGAGTGGGTGGGGAGGAAGACAGTTGATAAGACTACTGCTGTTAAGAATATAACTTTTTGTTTTTCCCCCTCTATCCTACTGTGGGCTTTGAAGTGGAACAGTCTAATGCATGTACTGATTGAAGCAGTTGAGCTTTGCCAATTGTCTCTATTGATTTTCTTTTAAAAAAATAATCTCTATTTTGCTTTCAAGTGTACTTTCTTTTGCTATTTCTAATGCTGTGTTTACTGTAACCTGAAGATTTTTTTCCTAAAAAATCTAGGTTGACATCACAGTAGTATTCCACAGCACATGTTGCCATAAGAAAGCTGGCAATAGAACTAGGAATTGCAATGAAGCAGGGAAAACATTATAAAGTGGATAATCAAAATTAGCATCCTTTGTGCAGAACATTTAGCAACGGGTACATCTTAGCAAAAACAAAAAGAGGCAAAAATGCTAATTATCAAAGGTTTGCGATAGGTTGACACTGAAGGTGATGTTCTGCATCTGAAGACATAGCAACATTAATATATTGTATATATTGTATATACATATAATATTGATGATTTTGAATGTTTTGCCGTGTATGTGTGCATAGTGATCCACCCTGAGTCCCCTTCGGGGAGAGAAGGGCGGAATATAAATACTGTAAATAAATAAGTAAATAATATTATAATGTAATACAATATAATACGAATAATATGATATTATAATTATATATTTTATATTACATGTAATATTACTAATAATATTACAGTATAATGGTATGATACAATATAGTAATATATAATACTACTATTGTGCTATGGTAATAATATAATATATTGTATTTACATATTACTTGTAAGCCATTCTGATTCCCCTTTGGAGTGAGAAGGGTGGCATATAAATGTTGCAAATAAATAAATAAATAAATAAAACATTTTAATGATATTTATATGCTTTAGGTTTAATTTACTCATTGTTACTCATCTTTTAACTCATTTTTAGTGTTGGGCACTCTGGGCCTACTTTGGGATGGAAAAAGCTGGATATAAATACACATAATAATAAATAACATTTCCC